GATCATAATAAAAGTACTGCATAACCATTATGACATCGAATATACAACAACCTAAACTACCTGCCAACCACGGTAAGTGACGTAAAATATAATGCCAATTAGTTGCTTCCAGTAAAACCTAAAATGCATAAAAATTTGAAAATAAAGGAACAAGAGATGAAACGCTTTCTTTCACCACTGCAATTTCTAACTCTTGATTCTATAGAGAAGTTATAACTTGGGCATGGAAACAAAAACACCAGTAAACAGATCATTAGATTTGTGGGAGAACGTGTCTTTGATATTTATAGCAAAATGAACTTTCTCGTTTAATTTTATCAGTATCATTTTACATTAGCTTATAGCTTCCGTAACAGTATTTTTGCTTCCAGTTATTCAGTGTTTCAAACTTAACCATAACAATTTTTCACTGAAAACTTACAGATAATCCATATGTAGCATTTGCTAGTATAATTATGTAGAACATAATCAGCGATAGACCTAAAAAATGGTGCCACAAATTTGTTTCGAAATAAATTTCTAACAATGGAAACCGTAACTGCTTTATAGAGCTCTGGCTTTTTCGCATTCTCTATTAAATGCCCTGCCAAGTGTTGCGGATACATAACTTTTCACTATACAACAAGACAAAGTGAAATGAGGAATAATCTTAGGACAACAAAACTAGCACAAAACTAGCGTTTTAATTAATGAATCCACCATTCAATAAATAGAACTTTCTAGCATACCGCAAGAGCTTATCTTCCGAATCTTTTGTTCTATTCCAACTCAAGCTTGTATGTAAGGAAGATAATGTCATTTTCATGATATAATACCTTCACAAGATTGTCGATAATAATTCTTTAATAACTGCGGAATTCGACCGGCAAAGTAACATGTTGCGGCTATAGAACCAATTATGTAACCGAGCTAGAAAACAGAGCAATTTCTTTATGCAGTTGAATAACTTCTTCGCCGCCGAAACGTATAAGCCTACTGTTCCGGATTTTTTAAAATTAAAAGATATGGCACATGAAACTATACCAACCAAATCGTAATAGCCGTAAAAAAATGGTGGTCCACCAAGTGGTTTAGTTAAAAGTAATTTTCTTCTTCCGACTGCCATTTCATAAACTTGATAATCAAATTTATTCGATGCATGTCCAGTTAAAAGCAGTGTTCCACCCGTTAGTAATCCAACGAAAATGCCTGGTATTATTGCTGTTGGACTTGTTATTGGACTGCTTCGTGCCGAAACTGACAATCAGTTCATAAGAAAGAGTAACATCAACAAGAACGACAAAAAATAAAAAGTTGAAACATCAATAACACCAATAAAAAAAATAAAAAAAGTTCAAAGTCTTCACCAATAAAGGTATCTAAAATAAAGGTATCTAAGAAACTAGTGAAATTTCCATTGCCAATAAAGCACTTAGTAAAATGTGTTTTCTAAAAATTTTAAAAGCAATTATAAACAACTTTTTTTAGAACATTTTCCTGTTTACTGAAATACATGAAAAAAGTAAAAATCGAAAATGAAAACATAGTTTGAAGTTATACCTCGCAGTCGATGTGGATAAATGCGACTGTAATAAAAATACTGGCTGAGAAGCACCATATCCTGAAAATATGCATGAAATCACTTTTGAGTAATGGGATGATTTCTCAAGAACAAGTATAGTATCTTGTACTTTTTGGAGTTTCGTACCTGTACGATGTAGTAAACACCAATAATTTTCTGAAGAGGTTGTTGATCTGTAAGTATTGCTCCTGCTGTATTGCATGAATCACCAACAATCCTCAAAATTAAAAAAATGAAATCAGATGACTCAGATTCTATCTGGAAGATATTGAGTTTTTCACTATCGCATTCAGCAAATTTCTGTAATAAATATATGATATTGATAAAAACAATGCATTTACAGAAAAAGTAAAAAAGTGATTTGTAGTAAAACAGTCATTCATAGCAAATGTTAAAATTTTTTAATAACTCGGTACAATCGAAAGCAGTCCCAATCAAGATGCTAAATTTTCTTTCTCAACAAACAATACATCCTCATTGACAAAACGTACCAAAAAAGGATAAAATAAATGGAAAGCGCATCGCAGCGCTTATTACGATAATTATGCAAAAGTTGTGGAATTAAGGGCAGAAGCCACAGAAACAATGATATGAATCCAATGATAAAACCAATTAACTTCAATTTCGTGTCCACACAATCTCCGAAAACCTGAAATCAAACAAAGTTCTACGTGAATGCAAGTTAGCACTACAATCTCCTGTCATTTATTTCATCTCTCTAATGAAATTAATAAATGCACCCAATTCGCAATTTAAACTTCCATATCTAATGCTAAATTTTCTTCTTGAATTTTGCACATATAAATTCGCGAAACTACTCGAAGTCACTTCATTTGCCTGTCTTTTTTTAAAGCTCTCAGTTTCGATCTCCATTTAAAATTTTTGCCAAAAAATGCGTCTTTTAAGCCCCATAAATCAGTAAAATAAAAATTTAAGTACAAGAAAGACATTACATCCAGAATCCATTTAATTCCATTCGTACAATTTAGCGGCTTATCAAATTTGCCATCATTGAACAACAATGAATCCCATCTGTCGTACAAATATCCGTCGCGTTTCGGTATCGCACGGAACAACAATGATGCCATCACGTCACATCTCAAAATTTTCGACAATATGAAAAGTGAATAAATTGAAAGAGGAAAGGAATGAAGTACTCTGTTAGTATCTATTGGATAAAAAGTGCATAATTAATTACAATTAATAATAAAACACTTCGACAACGGCACTCACAATAGGCGCCTTATTTGGATGGAGGATAAACTTTTCATAACGAGTCACTGTTTGGATTGGAGTGTCAGAATATACGATGGGATCTTCATGGGCGGTGAGGGTGTTCTGTCTTCGGGGCAATGATGGGGCTGAGTTGTGGCGGTGTTTCCTCAGTGCTAGTATTCATCATTATTTATAGATATGATTATTTATTCAGAAAAATGGCTTCTGGTGGCGAAAGACTCCTTGCTGTTACGGGGAAACGTACTTCGGGTCAGTCTATTCGAACGCAGAATGGTATTACTTTACTTTTAATTTTGTGACGTGTTTCTTTACTTATTGTATTCATGTATTTTTGATTGAAATATCTCAATTTATTTATGCATCTCTTATGTATGAAGTTTGATCTTTTAGAAAAAGCAGATTTGATTTTTTGCAGAAATTGCATTCATTTTAGCCTATTGTCTAAATTTCAGTTATGGCTGCATCAGCGATAGCTAACATTGTCAAATCTTCACTTGGACCGGTCGGACTCGATAAAATGCTCGTTGATGATGTTGGAGTAAGTTATATGTACTGATATTTGCAGATATCTGTTTTGATTGAAATCTCAACTTATTTATGCATCTCTTATGTAAGAAGTTTGATCTGAAAGAAAAAGCAGATTTGATTTTTTGCAGAAATTGCATTCATTTTAGCCTATTGTCTAAATTTCAGTTATGGCGCACATCGCTTTGCGACACTACTATTATACTTAAGTATTTTCCGATAGCACTTAGATTGAAAGAGAATGGTCCTAAAAGTTGAATTAAACTGTCACATTTTGAAAAGAGTTTTAAGGAAATCATATTTTTGATTTCAGGATGCAGTAGTGACGAACGATGGTGCGACAATTCTTAAACAAATAGAAGTTGAACATCCGGCGGCGAAGGTTCTTGTCGAATTGGCTCAATTACAAGATGAGGAGGTATCCGATCGCACATTAATGTTTTTTTTTTCTTAGAAAGTTGGTTGTGGAATGTTTATTCCTCATTTTATACAAATAATTTTAATTGAAATTATTTTAACCGACAATTTTAAAGGAACTTTTTTAAGGTTGGTGATGGAACGACATCGGTAGTTATTGTGGCGGCCGAGTTGCTTAAGTCTGCTGATGAACTAGTTAAGCAGCAAGTTCATCCCACAACTGTTATCAACGGTTATCGGTTAGCTTGTAAGGAGTCTGTGCGTTACATGCAGGTAGGTGTTTCTGCTGATATTTTATTGGTTTTTGTGTATCGCTTATTCATATGTGTATGAAATATTTAATTTAAAGTAGATTGATTGTTGCTTAACATTCAGAAAGTCGTTTTATATTTTTATCAACTGCAAATATGTCAATGCTGTTCTTATCCTGGGTCACTTAGTATCAGAGGCATGCAGTCCAAAATTAGTGGTAATTAACAATGTGTAGAGAATATTTAATCTGTGGATGTTTGATGAGTAAGCAAGAAGTGGTCATGAGTTTAGTCAGCATTAATATCCCATACTTCTGAATTTTTCTGCAGGACAATTTGTCATTTGGATCTCAGGAATTGGGTCGACATTCGATTACTGAAGCTGCGAAGACAGCAATGTCTTCAAAAGTTATTGGGCCGTATGTTTTTTTTTGTGGTTACATATTGTCAGGAATATGAGATAGGCTTGTTTGATTCAAGTCTGGATATTAGAGGTTAATTAAGGTCAATCTTCATCTCTTTTTTAATACTCACCGTGTATAATATGTGATTTTAATGGTACTTTAGAGTTTGGGATGTGATTATTAAGTCTTCATTTTTTTCCATATTTCTTTCTTTTATTTCCCTTCGAGTTTTTTTTGGATATGCTGTGTTGCAGTTAATTTTTCAAACACAATTTCTTTTTTTAAAACTCGCGTTTTAATAATGTTGATCTTAAATTATTCATGTCGATTGCAGTAACTGCCTTAACATGTCGATTTCTTCAACGGTTTATTTCAGATGCTTCATTTTTTGCAGAGATGCTGACTTTTTTGCTGCAATCGTTGTTGAAGCGGCAGAATTAATTAAGGTGACTGATGTCCAGGGTAAGGTTACATATCCAATCAAAGCTGTCAATGTATTGAAAGCGCATGGAAAATCAGTACGTGAAAGTTTTCTGATTAAGGGCTATGCGCTGAATTGTACTGTTGCTAGTCAAGGTAATTTTTATGTTAATTTTAAAAACTAGTTGCTTCTTCTTCTTCCATGCGATTATGCTTAACTCATACGCATGATCCGGGCAAAAGTACCTCAGTTGTTTTCCATGTCTTTGACTGATAGGTTGTTATAATAATTTTTCTGTAGAGTTTGTAGCCGTTGTTACTGTTTGGGCATCAAAAACAGTAACGTAAAAGAATGGTTCATATTGCTACTCATTTGTTTTATTGTGTTATATTCTTATTCAAGAACTTTGTTATTTTGTTTTTTTGATTACTGAATTTTCATAAATTAAGCTTTTAGCTATGCCACGCATTATTCATAATGCAAAGATTGCATGTTTGGACTTCTCGCTTCAGAAGGTCAAAATGCATCTTGGCATATCGGTGATAGTTGAAGACCCAATAAAGCTTGAAGCATTTCGTCGTGAGTAAGTTTTTATTTGGAATATATTTTCATGAGTTATTTTTACATCCTATGGGTAGTTCATTCCTTTAAGATGTTACAAATCATGGAATTTAAAGGAAGGCATGTTCATTGCTTATAGGATTGACTGATAATATTTTTTAATGCTTTCAAGAAATGTTTGATTGTAGAGAATACGAAATAACGAAACGAAGAATTGAAAAAATCTTAAAATCTGGAGCTAATGTAGTATTGACGACGGGTGGGATCGATGACCTTTGCCTAAAACAGTTTGTGGAAGCAGGTGCAATGGCGGTTCGACGATGCAAAAAGATAGACTTAAAACGAATTGCTAAAGCAACAGGAGGTAGCTTAATAGAATTATGCGGCAATTCCTTTTAATTTCTGTTTGATTAATGTATAGTGGCCTGAAGCACTGTTTTAAATCAGATTTGAAAAGATATTTTTTAAAAAAATATTTTTTATCAGAGAAGGAAATTAGAAATCTCAATTTTGACAGAGTATTTTGAAATACTTTGTGTCAGTGTAATAAAGTATAAAGTTTATGAATTAAACAGAGAATGCGGTTGATTCTAGGTCTCATTCACCTCACACATCCTTCGCAAAATATCAAATGCTTAAAGCACATTAAAGCAGTCTGAGAACACTAGCACCTGAGCAAAGAGGGTTACTAATTGACTATGAAAGGTTTATGGGTCTAAAAGATTGAATTCATTGGTACAGATAGCTCAAGTATTTTAGAATCTTCTAAGTATATTATATTTCAGCCACGTTGATGTCATCTTTGGCGACTCTGGAAGGCGCAGAAGCATTCGAAACGTCCCAGCTCGGTATAGCTGATGAAGTAGTTCAGGAAAGGATTTCAGACGATGAACTTATCCTCATCAAAGGACCGAAAGCACGAACTTCGTCCTCAATTATTCTTCGGTAAAACATCCTTTTTCATATTATCTTTTTCAGGTGCTGAACAATATTTTTGTGAGTTTGATAAAAACATATCAAAATGCGATGAATTGGATGCTTCTTACAGTATTTGATATTTAGTGGACCAAATGATGTGATGCTGGATGAAATGGAACGTTCACTTCACGATGCTCTCTGTGTTGTTCAACGAGTGCTTGAAAGTAAAAAATTAGTTGCTGGTGGTGGAGCAGTAGAAGCTGCACTGAATGTTTATCTTGAAGCATTTGCCACGACTTTAGTGAGTTTCGATTTTTTTTAATTGGTATAATTTCAACAGCACTTTATGGTTTGAATTTGTAACTGATGCTTTGATTTTGGATTAACAGAAAATTCGAAAAAATACACGGCTTCAGATGTGAAGAATTGATTTTTAAATATTTTCTGCTGCTGCTGCTGCAATGCTCAGGAAATCATTGTGGTATAAAATATTTTTTTGCAGTCAAGCCGTGAACAGCTTGCTGTAGCTGAATTCGCTAATTCATTGCTTGTTATACCAAAAGTGCTTGCTTCAAATGCTGCTAAAGATTCAACGGAATTGGTCGCTAAATTGCGAGCATTTCACAACAAAGCACAACAAGTGAAAGAACTTGCTCATCTGAATTGGTATTTATCGATTTTATGGAAAATATCATGTGACAAATTTAAAAATACTTGCTAGATGGCAGCATGGATTTGATGAGCACCATTTAAGGAATATGGAATGAAGTAGAATGACTGTTAGGGAGTTTGTTTCATTCATAATCAATCTGCTTTCATTTTAGGGCTGGTTTGGATTTGGAAAATGGTGAAATCCGCGATAACAAGGAAGCTGGCATTTTGGAGCCATTGATGAGTAAAGTGAAGAGTTTGAAGTTTGCGACCGAAGCTGCCATAACAATTCTTCGCATTGATGATTTGATTAAGCTCGAAAAGCCAGTACAGCGAAGAAACGATGACGATGATGATGACATGTAGATTGTCTTACAGAATTCACGGAAAATATATGAACAAGACTGTTTTCTATTCCGATTTTATTTTTATGCAGATAAACGGACACAGTAAATTTCCCAGCTCGTGTCAGCTTATTTTTCAATTTTGAAAACATCATGAAACGGCTTTGAATGGTTGTCTAATGAAATTAAAATAAATGTCTCTACTTGCTTACAGTTATGTTAAATCCGTCTTGTTACTTTTGTCACTCTGTTGTTCTTAAATCGCAGCAAAATCCTTCAACAGTATTTAGAAAATTCACTAACAGCTTTAAGGAAAAACTACCGATCAAAGATGCTCCGCAAAAAGCCGACGGCTTGGAC